CAGTTCCAGAACATGGGAATCAGTATAAACGCAGCCTAAGAGGTGAAAAAAGACAACAACGGCGTATATAGATGTCTTATGTAGATAGTGTTTACGTGAGCAAGTTAGAATTTTTGTAGGACTTTTATGGGTTGATTTACGATTTTTCTCAATTTTTCGGGCAGCTGAATCTTTTTAGTTTTTGGCTCGAAACTTGTGGTGGATCAGGGCTGTTGCTAAAGCAAGATAGCCATCTTGTAGAGCTTGCTTTGCTCTATTGAACGGTACCTTGCAACCTATTCAAAAATGAGAAATGTATGACTTATTGCGGTTGGAAGTCAAAACCTGCATTAATTTCCGGACAACCTAATACGTTACGCCCAGTTACGAGTTTACGAAATCACGTCCTCATGAATATTGCCCAAAATACCAACATAGCATACTTCGTCGGAATTCCCAAATTATGTTCATTTTGCTCAAGGGATCCTATAATTGAGTACGGTAGGAGAACTTCATATTTTAGGGTTACTGATGAGAACAATTTGGACGACATGATTTCAGAAACCAGCTCCTTAATCTGTGCCTGCTTTCTCTCTCATAATCTACGGAAACAGCACTATCGATAGTGCTTACTGGAGTTTTTTATTTTCAAGGTGCGCCGATTCATTCTTGAAGGGTGTTCCGCAGAAAAACTAAAGAGGAGTATTAGGGGTACGCTGTATATATTATAAAAAGATTCTTCTTGAGCTGAGCACAAAGCTTTTTGGGTCCAGAATATACTCATTCCGGAGGAGGTTAAGGCCTGCGTAATTTGCGTTATTCGCGTGATTCTGTGAAGTTCCCGGGTTTTGTGAACGGCATTGAAGATTTGGAAAAGCAGGTGAAAGTTATTTTAGTCTGCTTGCTGACTATTGGTTCATATTGGTAGATGTGTTGCGATCAAACGGGGCGTTTTTAATTAATGCATAACACTGAAAAGACTGCTGGAATGTTAAAGACGCACTGCGAGACCGGATTTTTGGCAGTTTCAGAGTCGTCCAAGTGCTTGCGCCATGCCAGCGTCATTCCACCGCCATGCTAGTGCTGTGCTAAAACCTACATGTACGCACCGTTAATTGATCATCAGGCACCGCAGCGCTCGAAGCCGGTGGAAAGGCGCTGCTACGGACTTTACCGCAATTTTACGCTTACTTAAGGTGAACCAACACTTGTAGGAGCACATTTCCATCATTTTGGTATGTTCACAATCAAAATGACTTATATCGTGAAGCCACGACAACATGAATATTTGCTGGAATAGCAGAGCTTTCTTTTCCGAAAGTTCGGGAAAAGTCAGTGTATAAGAAATGCTAATCAAACATTTACAGTTATCCAAATGACCTCGTTTTTTAACAGGTACTAAAAATGGGTACCGAAAACTGGGTTAATGTCAAGAGGCGCCATTTTTATAGCCAGATGGACATCAATTAGCGCATTTTTAGCATTTTAAGATGTATATAAGTGTTGGGGTCCAAAAAACCGCGAAAATGCAAATAATGTCGTTCTCGTGATTTCTTCGACCACGGTTTTACTAAAAGCAGTCGAAGTTAGCAAGTAGTAGCTTCAGATAGCTAGTAAGCTAGACCACCTTGTCTGGTAGTTCTGAAAAACTCTCATAGCTCTCAAATTGGCTGTGAAATTGGTGACCATTGTAAAAATCGCGCTTCTTGACCTTCTCCCCCAAAAATTTGCCGCAATTGACTTGCTGCTTTGCGGCAGTCACGATTAGTTCACAAGCCTTTTCCTATCAAATGAAAAATGGTGGTGTCAGTAATATTTTGCTTTAATGCATAGTCGCACCTCAGCTGTTGACATCGCTGCCCAGTTACTTTCGATAGAACTTATCCTTGTTCAAGTACAGCGCAACCATGTTGAAAAGATCAGCCACCTTGCGCTTACCGTAATTTCTATTGTGAATGGCATTATATCCATATTACATATTGTGCACAGAACCATCTCACACCTGCTGAACAATTTGGTTATTGCTGGTTCCTCAACTACCCTTCAACTATTGGTATGTGGATATTACTGGAAAAAAGCTTTATCTCAAAACCGAGCCACTGATGTTCTTTATTTTGACTTGTCCAAAGCTTTTGATAGAGTAGACATTCCCAAATTGATTGAAAAGCTTTTTAGAGTGGGAATTCGTGGCCCTCTTTTGAAATGGCTCTCATCTTATCTGTCTGATAGAACCTTTTCCGTCCGCTGTAAATCTGCTACCTCTTCGATTTTCCCAGCAACAACTGGTGTGCCACAGGGCGGTGTACTGTCCCCTGTCCTTTTCAATGTCTATACAAGTGATCTTCCTAGCCTCCTATCTACCGACAACAGAGTTAAGATTATGGCCTATGCTGATGACATTAAAGTATTTGCATCATATACGGATGCTGATAGGAAGGAAGTAACACAGTGGCCCGTAGTAAACCCCCATTAGGGCATCTCTCTTGAACCGGACCGGAGTTGATCTCATCGCGCCTCAGCACACTGCCAGGGTAGCGATTGATTTGGAGCAGATCACTGACTGGACATTCGCGTTTTCAAAATTGGAACGGTTCTGCCATTTGTGCATTAATAGTCAAATGGATAAAGCTAATGCACTTCAAGCGGGAGTGCCGTGGTAAGAGTGCGGCTAACGACACCGTTTTTGCTGTTTGGCCTGGCGATCTTTGACAGCGGCCGCTGTCGAAAAAATCGATGATAGCCGCTATCAGAGATTTCGCCTGGCAAATAACAAGATAGAGCAATTACACACTATTTTGGCAATCACACGAGGAAAAAATACATTTAACGAAAAATGAATAGAAAGATAAATTTATTTTCTTGTTGCCTGAAGCGATTCTTTGAGAAAAACGAGCAACAACTGCAAGAAAAATGCAAAAAAAACTTTTTTTCCATTTCGTCGCGCAATCAGCTGTTCATCGATCCTCACTCACTTGGGCTGAAGCTCACCTGTAGGGTGACCTTGCATACTTACACCACGAAAAAGTGGGCAGTCCTCATCTCACCCGACAAAGCCTCATATGAGAGCCTCAGGGGAGATCATCTCCCGTGACCGAGCTTTACTACGGGCCAGTGCCTACAAAATTCAGTGCAAAATATGTTGCACTGGGCAACTACAAATAATATTGATATAAACCTAAACCTAACTAAAAGTGCTTGCTTGATTATCACAAGAAAAAGGATGGATAAATGCACTTTTGAAGATTATGGAGACTCTGACACCTCCCTCCCTAGACCTGAACTTATAAGAGACCTTGGAGTTCTGGTGGACCATGACCTTCGACTTAGATCCCATATTGAGAAAATAGCACGTGCGGCCCTGCACAGAATGTTTCTTTTGCTGCGTAACTTGAGGCATGTTCATGAGAAGGTTTACATTAGAACGTATGTGGCTTATGTCCTTCCGCATTTAGAATACGCTAGCCAAGTACGGAGTCCATATACAAAAAAAGATATTCTGACCTTAGAGAATGTTCAGTTGACATTTACTCGTATTCTTTTCTATAGACTTTTTTTTTAAATGTCAATTATCCTGCTGCCCTCCCATCCTACAGATGCAAGTTGCAACGCTTCAAACTCCATAGCTTGCTTTACCGAAGGGTGGTAGCCGATTCAGTCCTTGCATTTCAAATCATACGTCTTGAGACCAAACTTTTGCCCAGTGAATTTGGTTGTGGAAACCTTGCCATGGACGGACAGGTAGGTTTAACTTTTGTTGTTCTGTAACAGAAACTTCTCAGCTTTCAAATCTTTTTTGCAATTCCTTTTTTGTTCGCACTGCACACTGGATGCAAAAATTACCAGATTCCGTTTTGTCTTCTGCTAACTCAAAAACCTTTAGAGAAAAACTTTTAAAATGTGATGTTTTGAGTTTGTTAGGAATCGACGAGTCTGATTACTTTTAGATGTTTAAGCTCCTTTTTCTTACTGTTTTTTTTCGCTTTTCTTGTCTGTGTCCTTCCAGAATATATCCTTATAATATATTCCGTTTTGTTCACATGATAGTTTTCTGTTGATTTTGCTTCTCTAATGGAAGTTGATCGGGAACACATTTGTACGGTTTGGGTCCGATTTTCTTTGAGTTGTTATCTAAGGCTAGCCTATGAAGACTGCCCGAGTATATTTATTCTCGAGCTCATTTCTATTCATCTCTAATGAGTTTGTGGCTCATCCAGTATGTCGGTAGCGCGGGGGTTGACTAGTTTTGTTGAGCTAGCATACCCATTTTCATTTTCATTGTCTACGTCATACTCCTGGAAACTAGGTCGCTTGCTGGTCGAGCAAGGGTGGCATGTGAACAAACTCAAACTCCGAACTCATGTGAACAATTCTTATGGCAGCTTCTAATAGCTATACCTTAATGCCTTTTCTATTATATTGGACCTAGATCGACGAATGTCCCTATTCGATAACATATGCAGTAGTACCTTTTCTGTTGTTTGAGTTCTAACACTGTTTTTTTTCATCTGCTGGTTACTAATTTGCTGTTGTAGCGTCCCTTTGGCGTAATAAATAAATAAAATAAAAATAAAATATCCGCAAGGTAACACCACAGTAACCACTTGTCTAGAGAGCCGTTGTCTCACTTAAACGCAGAGGTGTATGGCGGTTAGAGGTACTAATAATGAGTAAACTACCTAATTACCTTCATATCCCCTACCATTGTGCTTAAGTTAAGTCTGTTCAATTGTTGGAAAACTCATTTGTGGCTTAAAAATGGTCTTTCTCCGCCCTGTCTAAAAAAGCACGACTTGATTTATTTAATTGGTGGCTGATGCCAAAATCTGATAAAGACTGAGGCTTCTTCCCATTGACATAATCTCAACGTAGTAGTCATTTGCTGATTATGCGCATCAATCATCATTTTTTTCAGAATGTACGCGCAGACAATGCAGTTGACAGATTATTATCAGTGCTGTGCAACTTTTTTGTGTAATACCGAAAAGAAAACCCAAACTGCACTTTATTAACATGACACAGTGTAAGTCAGTTGGATATTTTGCGTAAGGGTTTAAAAACAAGAAAAATCATCTACACAGCACGTTTGGTCTCCTTCATATAGAAAACGAGGTCATCCTGATACCTGGAAATAATCGAATAACAGTTTATAAACACTATTGACCTAAATTCACAAAACCTTTGAGAAAGAATTCTCTGCAATTCCAACGAATGCTCACGTCCTCGCGTTTCCGCAATATAAGTCAATTTGATTGTGAACACACCAAAATGATGGAAAATATGGTCCTAAACGAAAAAATGTGGATCTTTAGATCTCCTTAGGTCTAAGACAGTGTTTAGAGTTGCAGTGCTAGCTGCGCTTCACCGCAATCCAGCGTTTTGGTGCTTCAACGTCGACCGATCAACGACCGTCGACGTCCATCTAACTTTTGGCACACCACTAGCACGGCGTGAAACGTGCTAGCATAGCGCAAGCCTAGAAGTTGGTCCTACCATGCTAATGTCTTTAACATTTGCACCGGTCTTTGCAGTGATATCCAGTAGTTCGCAAACGGCCCCAGCTTGATCAGGCATAAACACATCGACTAACACCAGCCGATCGTCAGCAAGTAGGCCTAGAACGACATTAATAACCTGAATCAATTTTTTCTTAAATATACAACGAATCTTGCCTTTTTCTATACTGTGTCCCAGTACCGTACAATCCACATTACCACCGCTCAAGATGGTCACTACTTTTGCTCCTGGCTTTGCTTTGACCTGATCGCTCAGCAATGCAGCAAAACCCACGGCTCCACCTCCTTCGACAGCAATCTGAAAAAATGTGCAAGTTAGTTGTGAAGAATGTTGATTTTTCATGGATGTTTTCTTACCTTATGTTGCTCAAGCATCCTTAGCTGAGCTAAAGCTATATAATGCTCTTTCACGCTAACAATGTCAACTTTATCTAAAAAATTTTACCTTTAAGGCAAGTGAACAAATGCTTCATTTCGGTTTCAAAAAATATTATGTTTGTCAAAAGCATAACTGTTGAGACATTGAGCAATTAATAACAGTTCTCAAGGTTCAACACATTCACGACAAGGGCGATTTTTCGACTACTGCCGTTTCGGACCAGAGCCTTTTTCGCTTTGTCAAACTTACGTACCGTCCGTAGATCGTGTTGTCCGAAATGGTAGTCTTTTCGGAAGAAATTCAAGACATGTCTCCGAGGATTTCCCCACAAGGATCGATGGCACTGATTACCAAAATATGATTTATTTCAGTTTGGCGGTGTACGGTAAGGATACGGTAGTCATTTTGTACTAACCCAACATCATGGATTTTCATGAAAAATTGTGTTTTGGGGTTTTTCACGTGCTGGTCACCATTATAGTGTCCACTTTGTTCACTACTTTCTCACGCTGGGAATACAGTAGAATTTTTGTAAGAATCAAGAAACTGGTGTAAGAAGACGGTATAGAACTTGAGACTATCATTTTCGTAATCAGCATGCTAGAAAATATGTTAGGTTCGAGCTTCTTGGGATGAACAATGCGAAAAATCAATAAAATCAATAAAATCGGTATTTTTGATGGGCTGACATAGTCTCGTGCCCTCCCTGTATTTCTCGTGCATGTGAACTTGAATTGTCAAAAGCAGCACCACTCTGCGAAAAATTTGAGCTAAAGTCTGTGTCTTACTTCTATATACAGTATACCTACCGTAACATTTTTACTGTATCCAGAACTCGGACCACTCTGGGTGGAGCTTCGCCAAGGTGTTCCCAATGTGCCAGAACCCCGTAGAAATCCATTGTATACTGGCAAAGCTAGCTTCAGGAATCTTACGACCCATCGGTGGGTCGCATTGTCCGAAACGGCAGAACACGTACGACTCACTGGTACGTCGTATTTTCGTGAATGTGTTAAACAAAAGTGGTGCAGATTTTAACTCAAGGCTATAAGATCAAAAAAATAGATGAAGTAATGAAGGTAACCTTTGACTATATTGAAAGAATTGTATCCAGCTCTTGGAAATGCCAGTGAAGATGCTAAAGATGTTCTCGATTTTACAAGAACCGGTTTGCCTTTTTCGAGTGCCTTCTGTCATAAAATATGGAATTTTAATGTGGTAAAATAATGGATGGACGTAAACTTGCCGTAAAGCACTGCGACGCTTTCGTTTCTATGCCAACAATCCTTGTATTGGGAGAAATTTCTTTGACGGCCGTAGTGATACCAGCCAGAAGAGCACCACCTCCAACTGGTACGAGAATGGTGTCCACTTCCTTCAGCTAAAACCTAGTGCATTGTAGCCATATGCTTTTTATGTATCAGAGTGTCTCAACGATTCTACCCGCTGTTCCAAAAGTAGCAACCCTATTGTTAATACTTTGTGCCTACAAACGTCCATATTGGACTGAGTGGCATAAGCGTAGATTATTATAGCAGTGTGAGTTGTATGTGTTGAATTTTGCTAGAAAATTGGCGGAATTATCAGAAAAACATCAGCACAAAAATTCCCTGAAAGTTTTTTTATGTAAAGTAGCTACGCGTTTTCTAAGAGTAAGAAAAGTAACACCATAACCTTTCTGTCTCCTCAGTACACCCTATGAGACGCACAAGCCACTTACAGGCAGCGTCCATGCAAATCTGGACATACGTGATTCTGAAACGGAAAGTAATTTTGGGGTTCTAACTAAGACATTGCTCAAGCGGCAGTTCAAATGATGGAATCATGGTTGAGATATTCGCCTCCAAACTGGACCCCGGGATCGTATTCGCATGGATTCATGGCGCGACACGCGTGGGTCCTCGGCAAAATTTATGTGTCGCGCCATGAGTCCATGCGAATACGATCCCGGGGCCCAGTTTCGAGGCGAATATCTCAATTGTGAGCTCACCAATTGAGCTGCCGCTTGGGCAGTGTTTTAGGTTAGGCCTCCAAGATTACCTTCCAAGTGACCCCATAGGCCCAGATTCGCCTGGACGCTGCCTTTAAAAGAGTTATCCAGTCTTTAGTAGAATTTTCCAGTTTTGGGACTTTTGAAACCAGGATCAATCACCTGTTCGAATATTTCCAACGCAATAGTGCCAGCTCCAGCTATGACATCTATATGATCGTGTCCATCAATAAAATGGCTGCCTTTTTCTTGCGCAAGATCAAATGCGTACTTTCTCGCCTCAGCAACATTCTTTCCCTAAAACGTGGAATGTGAGTAATATAGAGATGTTTTGAGCTCTCTGCTTATTACAGACAGAGGAAAAAAGAATATTCATCAGGGTTTTGCTTGCGAGATGTAACATCACTTTGCAAAATCGTTGAAGTGGTGCTTCTAAAAAACTACAACAATCTAATTTTGTCGTACAAAATTTATTCCGTAACCAGGATATTGAAAGAGTCATTGCGTTTGTAAAGAGCTGTTTCCTCGAGAATGGCGAAGAAAATTTGAAGAAGTTGCCTGCGTTAGTGAATTTAATTGAAACCTACAAGCTAGGAAAGCACAGCAGTTACTGAGTCTAAGACTATTTTTTTTCAGCATTTAGTTCTCGGTCGATGGAAAATTTCAAAACGATTTGAAGTTATTTTTCCATTTCTTCTCCACGCAAATGTCATTGGTTAGCGTACACGTGCGAGCCAAATCGTGACAGTTACTCCTAAACCTGACAAAAAAATTAATTTTTAATTTGAATTTTGAAGAAATCTTTGGCAGATCGCGATTTTTTGTAAAATCATGGTACTCGATTTTTTGTAAAATCATGGAATACTCGACCGCAACAAAAATGTAAAAACTTCTGTTTTAGCGATTGGAAGCTCGGTTGTTATCATCCATCACTTATGCAGAATATTCGAGCCGCTTAGAAAAAGCAGATTTCTGAATATTTTTGCTACTCCCACGCGTTGATGGTACTCAAGAAGCTGTGGCCTATCATAAAGATGTGATTTTGAAAACTACAAAGAATCGATCTATCTAATCTAAAGAGAATCGTAGTGCCAATTCAAAAAATACCACATAGCGGAAAAAGGCGGTGCGGTCCCGCGCGCGGATGCAGTGTACTTCAATTACGGGTTCAGTAGTAATCTAAAACAATTAAACTGTACTCAATTTTGTTTCATATGAGAAATTCCAGGGACGCGAGCATTTAATTGGAACTGACTAAGCTATGTGGCAACATTGTAGTAGCTGCATCAATCTTAGGCCTAACAGGGGAAGGATACTTGGATGCCGTAGCCATTCATAATGATTTGTATACCAAAAAATGCGCTTTTGAACGCTGGTTCGTAGACTGTCTTTCATATCTGCGAAACGATAATCTGAATGGAGTTATGATTTTTTTCATTAAAAAAATTGCGTTCCTGCGGAGGGTCAAAATCAACAATAAAAAAAGTTTCTCTCCTTTCCAAATGCTGATTATGATCCAGATAATCTAAATAAATATTACTACGTCTAAAATTTTCTTCAGTAGCATCAAACGTAGGCTAGGTCAAATCTGGTGATTTTTACTATCCAAAAGTAGGCTAAATTTTCAAGGAAAAAAGTTCACAACTTTCTTCAAAAGATCGTTTCGCAGATTTCGAGCACAGATTCAGAATCTGCATTTGAAGGCGCATTTTTGGTATACAAATCATCAGGAATGGCCGCGGCATCCAACTATCCTTCCCTTGTAAGGCGTACCTCACACGATGCCAGTCGCTGCGCGATCTGGCACTGCAACGACTCTTCATAACTAGTCGTAAGCGCGCTTTGCATGGACCAGACTTAAAGCTCTTGCTATAACTTACGGAAGCTACTTGCCTACGATTTAGGATCCGTGCACGGTTGACTTGTAAATATCTGGTAAATTGCCAAGTCGCGCGAATATGGCGATTTGACGAAATCGCGCGAGGTATGCCTTAGGCCTTAGGTCCAAGGCATACCTCGAGCGACAGTAGTTGCGCGATATGGTACGCATCGACTCCTCATGATTGGACATGAAAGCGCTTTGCTGAGGCAAGACTTGATGTGAACATGACATACATACATATTTGATATACATACAAGCTAGCTGGACTGTACAAGACTGTAGACTGTACAAGCTGTATACAAGCTACGCGCCTATGTAAATATATAAGTGCTGCGCACGATTATCGTAAGGATTTTGGCGAAATGCTAAGTCGCGGGATTTCAGCGATTGATGGAGTTGCTGGAACCTCACGAGGACTATCTCTCATTATGAAGAGAAGAATCTAAATTGAAGTATGTTCAAGCCGCTCTTCGCCCTAGTCAAGCTGAAGAAAGATGAAGAGACATTTACATTGAACAGTTATCGTCGATTTGTTGACTGCACGGACTGCTGAAACCTTGAGGACCACGTGCGGCCGCGGGAGCAGGGCTTGTGCAATGGCGAATTTGTACTAAGGCAAGCTTTTACCTCGCGGCGCATGCTCCGCATGGTGTCCGGCCGTGCGGCCAACGAATCAGCTATATCCAATACTTCCTATGGTAGAACACGTTGAGCCATTGTCAATCTACTAGAAAACTGCAAAGATTCCCTCTATACACATCGGTGTATATGCCGTAGGATTTATTAGAATTAATTCAATAATAGACACAGCAACACGTAAATTTATCAAGGTGATGCGGATGCGCCGCAACCACATAGGTCGCCTCAGCTTTAACTAAAAAAAATGAGCGAGTTTCAATCTATGTTGAACAGCCCTGCAAACTTCCGCAAAGGAAAGTGCGAATCTTCGCGAAGCAGAGGTGAAGGTTCGGCAAGGAAATGAGGAGCCCTTTTCCTACACTGAATTCTGTGCCTTGGTTGTAATGTTAGACCTTTGGTGACATTTGACTTGAGCGCGTTGTGTGCAGCTTTGCAATGCTCTGATGTTCAATTCAAAAGGGAAATTAGGGAACCAGACAGACCTTTACTATGACATTTGCTCCAAATTCTTTACAGCGACTGATTGCTCTGAGCGTTACATAGCGTGGTAGAACACATGTTATTGGAACCTTAAGCATATTTCCATGATATGCCATAGCGCGTGCATAATTTCCATGCGAGCCGACGACAACCTGAAGTTAGGTGCTGATGCTGTTCGATTTGAGACAATAAGATTATAAATGTCAAAATAATCACCCCTTTCTCTCTGTCTTCAACTGATAGACATAGCAAGGCGTTGCGAGCTCCACGTTCTTTGAAACTGCCAGTCCGCTGCAAAAATTCGATTCTAGATTTCTTAAGATCTGTTGTAAAGAGAGAGAGTATCGTCATTCATTTCTCATTTTACTCATTACAGTTCATTTCAAGCATTCAAACAATGAGGTTTTAACGAACACTAATCGTAGATACTGGGACAGGCTTTGGCACATAAGTTGGACGCATGCTAGAACGTTATTAGCATGAATATATACTGGTGTCGTCGATGAAAGCTGTTCATCTAAAGTAATCGTGATTGCTGATAGTCGTCGCTCATCCGTTTTCATATTGCTCCAGCTTGACAGAAAAATTGAAACATATGTGTTTCCCTTAAGTTTTGTTGTGTTACATTGGAGCAAAGCAACAGATTGGGTTTGTTAAGATTGTTTGCCGAACAACTTCTATATAAATATTCCTTTAAGCACTATTGCCTTCCTCAGAGACCCGAAGTTGAGTCATAAATGAGGTAGATCACAAAAGTTGAATATTTGTTTCTTGAAGGGTAGATCGACTTTCATGATAGTTAGGCGCTTCATGAGAACATATCAAAGTGAAAAGAAAACTACAGTAGAGTGTTGGACCCATAACTAGGTGCTGTGCACATTTAGTTGAGACTAGAAGGCAGTGTCCAGGGATAACTCGCACTGGAGAGCGCGAAAACGGCGAAAAGGGCTCTAAAGTAGGAGGAAGGCAGCAAGTGGTTGGGGTCCTCCCCCGTTATGAAATCACGTTCCCACTTCGGAGCTATCTTCTCAGTTTCAATTTTAAGTCAGTCGTTCGCACCCAGCTGATGGCGATATCAGGGCGGCTACCGGAATCAAGAAGATCGCTCCGGAAGCTGGACCATGAATTCACAGCGGGAAAGCAGTACTCTGCGTTGATACCACTGCTT